CGACCACTGTATATCTTGATGATACTGCCCATAAGGTCGTCGCACACACCGCGCAACGTATGGCTGATCAAGTCTGCTCAGCTACTGCAAGTCTCTCCCGTCCCCTTGCATTGGCTGGTGGCGCTTTGAATGTAGACAAGCAGGTTGCAGTGCCACGGTTTGTTGGGACTGGCGCTTTTGGCGAGTCTCGCTCGTTTACCGATCCTGTTCGTTGTCTACCAGGTCGTATCATCACACATGCAAAGTATCTAGGTGCACAATATCATGGCGCGGGTACCACAGCACAGCAGCGGCACGCTATACAAAAGAGTATGAGGAGCGCATGGTATGCCATGGGACGGTTCTGGCATGTCAATCATGTTCCACTACGTATACATCTTCTTGTGTTTCAGGCACGCGCGCGGGCAGCAGGACTCAGCGGCCTCGAAGCCCACATTCCCTCGGCGAGCGACTATAAGCTCATGGGCGGCCTGCTGTTACAGTGGGGTCGCACGCTGCTAAAGGGTGCCGCAGTTTTGAAGATCCCGCGAGCCGACGGCACCATCAAGCACATTTCGCTCTCGGCTGTGCGCATTGGGACAAAACTCGGCCTAGTTCCCTCGCAGCTAGAACTCCGTACTCGACGGCTACGCTGGCTTCAAGAGGTTGCGGCTCACCGCTCTGGGAACAAACAACTGTTAGCAGCGATCTTTGGGCAGATGCATGGCGAAGAATACACTACTTGTGAAAATGGTCTCCTTACCCGGGGCGATGCTGGTCAGGTTCGCGGGGGCCCCTGGGCCCTTCAAGCTCTCAACGACCTCAAACTTTTGGTGCACGTTGAAAAGGGCCCCGAGCTGCTTAACGCCATGGGACACATACGTCTGAAAGTTTTCACCGACGAGTTCAGCACGAGGTTTCACAAACTATAAACTTTGGCAAGCTCCGCAACAGGTTCTGGGAAGAGGAGATCGATGAGACGGGAAAAAGGCGGGTGGAGGGTGGTGGAAGAGTTGATGCAGCAGGAGGAGGAGGCGAACAGCACGATCTTGACCCAGTACCCCCTCCCCGAGTTTGGCGATGCACCGAGACGAACGCAGATGGTTCAGAGTGCGGGTTGGAGTTTCATGATCAACAGGGCTGGTACGCACGCATGCGTTTTTGCATGGAGGGCATCCACGGTCATCGGGCCCTTTCTCAGCTCCTCACGGTCACGAATCAGCGCCCCTGGTGTATGAGCACGCACTCGACCGTCGCGATCTCCCGTCATCACGTTCGACGTCTATTTCTCAAGCGCAGCTGTCAATGCGACCGATCCCCGATTCATCACGAGCCGATCTTACCGCCCACGTTCGAGTGCCCAGCTTGCAGCAAGGACCATCCG